GCTATCAGTCGGAATCCACTCGACCGCTGTGGGTTTGCTTTTGGTTAAATTTGTAATTCACCTGGAGGTGTCTCAGAAGAAAGGCCTGGCAATCTGGTTTAGAAAGTTCATAACTTTGAAAAACTGATGGAACACAGTTCTCTGTAAACACACTCCCCGTGAGTCAGAATTGATTCCACAGCAACCGGTTTGGATTTTTTATTTTTATTTTTGGTTTAGAGAGGTTACAAGGCTCAAGGCTTGAAAACAGTCTTGTATGTCACTATTTCACCTTGAGAGCAAAACTCAGAATGAAAGACTTCAAGAAACTACTCTTTTACAACCATTATCGAGTGTAATCCCCACAACCACTTCCAGAGAATCAGTGTCGAGGGGATTAGGCCACCGGGGAGTGGCTCCTTGATCAGTCTGAAGCCCGAGGCCACTCACTTGCACCGCCTAGAGCCCCTGCTCTGGGACTGAGGGAGGACTAGCTTCGTTTCTTACGAACAACTAAAGAAAATCGCTGCAACCTCTAGTTTTTCGAGTAGAGTCTAGTAGGTTGTTTAATGAAGAAGGTGAGATGCGTAATGGAATGGATCATGTCCAGCGAACTGGGACAGCAGCAGCTTCATTCGGACTGCTTCCTCGCTTCCACTTGTCCTCCGGGAAGGCGGTTCCAGAATGGGCGTGGAAGGGAATCAGAGAAATGAAAAAGAGGGTCACGAGTTAAAGCCGCTAGGGGTGGGAGGATGCCACCGGCGGCGACTGGCTGCAGCCAGGCTCACGTTGGCCTCTGGATCTGAACGGAGCCTCGGAGGTTGCTGGAGCCCGCGCTGAAATGCCGCTCTACCCAGCTGCTGAGAACACCTGACACCTCCAGTGCTGACTGCTTCTGCGGGTGGCTCCCGTGTCCCCCACCCGCGCCCCCTAGGCGTGCCGGGGGCCGCAGGTGAGCCGAGGCTACCCGAGCCGCGCTGGGCACTTGGGAGGCATCAGGTGTTGTGGGAACGGCGCCCGGGCACACAGGGAGGGACCGCGATGTCGCGAGCAGTCGGTGATACCAATCGGGAGGGTCCGGTCCTCGGACTTCGGCGCTATGCAAAGGAGTCAGGTGGGAGCAGGGTGCGAGATGCAGGTTTTGGACACAGCCCAGGCTCAGCCGCAGGCCAAAGGTCAGTGTGGGCGAGCGCCCGCCCTGAGTACCACCGGGCGCAGGGTGGGAGGAGGCGCGCTCGGCCGAGCGCCCCTTGGCCAGAGTACCCGCGGACTGAAGCTGCTGGGTGGGCCTCTGTCCACCCGGAGCCGGAGGCTAGGACTCGCGAGCAGAAAGCCGCCCCCAGTCCAGAATCTCTGCAATAAAAGGACTGTAGCAGGGCGGCCATCGGGGTTCTGACCAAGAGTCCAGAGATGTTTTTGAAGTTGCTCACCTACCTTCTTTGAACTCGAACTGTTTATTAGAGGTGTACGATGCCTGCAAGGATTGTGAGGATGGGTCAGGACAGGTCACTGTTTTGTTCTATTGTACATAGAGTCTCTAGGAGTCGAAGCCCACTTGGTGGCACCTACCAACCACAAAGGCAGATAAAACCAGGGTCCCTGCGCTGATTGAAACCAGCTTCCAGCCGGTTATAGGTGGGCCCTTGGTGGCTCAAGTAGTTAAGGGCTTACTACTAAGTTAGTACTATGTAACCCCAAAGTTGGTGCTACAAACCCACCAGAGGCACCTTGGAAGAATGGCCTGGTATTCTGCTTCTAAAAGATTACAGCCCTGAAAACGCTATGGAGGTCTACTCTGTACCCATGGGGTCATCATGAGTCAGAATCAGCTTGAGGACAACTAACAACAACAAAGGGCTGGGACAGTGCCTGGGGTTGAAGTGGCTGGTATTGCAGACCTTTTGGAATAATTGCTGCAGCTTCCATTCTTTCTTGACGAAAATACCAGCCTGACAGAGTCAGTCTGACTTCTTACTTAGTCAATAGGTATGGAATAAATAAATAAATAAATAAGGAAAAAAAAAAGCAAAGAGACTGAAGTTTGGAGTTTCTGAAAAAATGAGGTGGCCTTACTTGGTCTCCATCTGTTGAGCGTTTACCATTTACATATATTCCCTGGCTTTCTCTAATTTTCTGCCTCTGAATCCAAGTAAGACTCTGACAGCAGCAAATAAATAACTTCTGTTTTGACATGTGGGTTCAAAGAGTATGCCTAATACCACTAATAGACTCAATTCTGGTCTGCCTCTTAACTGAACTGGTGCAAGCCAAAGCTGCCACATGGATGGATGGGAAGGGGTATTGGTGAATACTTCTAGAACAGCTGGGGGTCTGGACAGTTTTTAGTTTTTAAAGGGCATCTTCCAAAGGGTGCTTAGTTCATATAAGGCTAACATTAGCTGCAAGTTTAGGGGTCAGTTGAAATAAATGAAATGTCTTGCTTCTGGGACAACTTGGTATGATGTGCTGAATAAATTAATGGTGGTTGGTTCACTTTCTTTGTTCTTGTGGGTTAATGTTACACAGTGTGTGGCTAGTTTGTTTAAAATTTAATTTCACTCTATCAAAATGGAAAAGGCTTAAAGTGACCACAGTCTGTAATTCACCAATACCCTTTAAGAGTTTCATTATTGTTATTAATGACTTCATTATGTTATTAGTTGTATAGACTAGTTGGTTTTTAAGTCCCATAGATACAGTCTCTTTAAATGCCATGCCTTTCTGAAAAAGATCATAAAATGCTCTTGAATGAAAATCTTTAGGCTTGAGTAACTTTTTTCTCTCCTTTATATTTTTACCTAAGAGTTATTGTATTCATACTTTGACAGGCATTTTTGCACACACATACGAAGCTTTAATGTGTTCTTATCATGCTTATTTCATTTTATAGGTACTGTGTAAGGTATATGTTGTTGTTATGTGCCTTCCAGTCAGACCCGACTCATAGCGACCCCTCCTTGCGTTTCTGAGGCAGTATCACTACAGAAATAGATTGCCCCATCTTCCTTCTGAGGAGTGGCTGGTGGGTTTGCAGTCAAGTGCCTTAGCCACTATGCTACCAGAGCTCCTGTGTAAGGTATATAGAAAATATATTTTATGCTTTATTCACTAAGCAACACCTTATTAATCTTTTCATTATTTAAGAGTTTAAAAGTTTTCCCCACAACTAGTTTTTATACTCAGTACCTATTGTTTGGAGATGTCGGGTTTGCAAAGAATGTTTGAATCAAAAATAGGATTCTAGACTTGGAAAGTAGTATAGCACCTAAGCAGTGACTTGTCAAATACTGTATGGATATAAGTTTGAAAATTGCCCCTTCATCTCTGACTATAAATTATTATAAAAATACCAAGCATATTTTCTTTCATTATGGAAGGACTCTACTCTCCCTGATGGTTTGGGGTATTTCGTTTTTTAACAGATTTCATATTATCCATATTAATCTCAGAAAAATCCAAGATGTGGTCCCAGTGTCCCGAATGAGTTCTTCATAATGTTGAAAATCTTGACAATAAAACCAGCCCCGCCCTCTTCAAAGAGACAAATGAAATAATAGATGAGAAGTAGTTTGACAAGTAAAATGTACTGCATTTAATAAAAAGCAAATACGAGATTTGGCTGGCTGGAATTTGTTCTTAAATTGTGAGTCTTTGTTCCCCTGGGTAAGAACCCTTTCTATATAAGTCCTGGGAGGCTCACGCTGCCCCTATGAATCTGCTGGGTTCAGGTTGCTCAGTCTGCTGGGGGGCTTAGAGTGAGGCTACCTCCTTAGTGCTAGACCCTATACAAGGGCTTTATATGTATTTTTATTTAATCCTCTCTACAGTCTTATGAGGGTAGGTATTGTTATTCCCATTTTGTACATGAGGATACAGAGACTAAGTGACCACCTAAGATAGGCTAAGTGACTTGCCTAAGGACAGATAGGCTAAGTGACTTGTCACACAATTGTCAATGAGTAGAACCAGGCTTAGAAACCAAATCAGATCTTGGTTCTCTAAAACATACCTGCTGTTAGGTGTCATTGAGTCAGTTGTGACTCATAGCAACCCTCTGTACAAGAGAATGAAACACTGCTGGATCCTGCACCATCCTCACAGTTGTTGCTGTGTTTGAGCCCATTGTTGCAGCCACTGTGTCAATCCATCTTGCTAAAAGTCTTTTTCTTTGTTGACACTCTGCTTTACCAGGCCTGATGTCCTTCTCCAGGGACTGGTCCCTCCTGATAATATGCATAAATTATATAAGAATTGCCATTCTTGCTTCTAAGGAGCATTCTGGCTGTACTTCTTCCAAGACAGATTTGTTCATTCTTCTGGAAGTCCATAATATAGTTGATATTATTCACCAACACCATAATTCAAATTTATCAATTCTTCTTCGATTTCCAGGACAATATTCATTGTCCAGCTTTTGCATGCCTAGGAGGCGATTGAAAATACCATGGTTTGGGCCAGGTACAGCTTAGTGCTCCAAGCACCATACCTGGCTACCTTTAACTCAGTGGTTTTAAACCTTTTATGATAATCTGAGGAGAGTTTCAATTTTGCCCTAGGAAAAATGCCCGTATCCACATATCCATAAAATTTTGCATATAATTTCAGGGTCCACCAACTCTTTAAAGCTCTTTCCCAGGCTCACAGGGCAACATACTCTTCTCTATATCTGTTACTGAATGAGGTAACAGCAAAGGCAAAAACAAAAAAGATATACATACTATAGATAAATACACCACACCCATCCACACACACACACATATGTATAAACTTTTACTAATAGGAGCAGCCCTTGAATTGGTAATTTTTATTGCAGTGAATATTACTTAGCAACAAAAACAAAACAGGAAAATGACATCTTATATTCAGATTTATTCTGTAAACTTCCAAAATGCAGTTGAGAACAATGGTGTTTATTTGAAACTTAATCTTTCATTTGGGACTCATCATCTAGCCTACAATAGCAAAGAGTATGGACTTGTGCCTTTACTCACTGAATGGAAACTCTTTTTATCCTTCCCTAGAGATGGCAAATCCTGAGGTTAATGTAAGTAGCTGCATCTCCCACGAAGAAGAAAATTGCTGCAATTTTAACCAGAATACATCTGTCTCTGAGGAGCTTCTGTTAGAAGACCAGCTGAGACGAAAACTCAAATTTTTTTTCATGAACCCTTGTGAGAAGTTCTGGGCTCGAGGTAGAAAGCCATGGAAACTTGCCATACAAATTCTAAAAATTGTCATGGTGACTATCCAGGTGAGCATCTCAGATCATGAGATTAGTGAAGGCCTCTTCTAATGACAAAATGGATGTATGGACCGGGGTTCTTATAAGTTTTAACTGTATGCGTCATGGAGAACAATAAATAAGGAAACATATATTATCTGTAATCATTTTCTGTGCACCAGTTGTGAAAGACTTTGTTGTTTTTTTTCTCTCTCCATCTTTCACTAAGTTATCATTTTAGACACACAACCTCATTAGTTTTCAGGGAAAGGAAATGTTAATATTTTGCTTCCAATCAAGAGATTTAGTTGAAGTTTTCTAAGTCAGCCATGGGAACTAATTGTTGGTCATACAGAAGACTTTCTTTCCTTCTTAGTTAATTTCCTGAGAATCTTTTTCTCTTCAAACCCTTCAGGGGTTTCTGTTACAGGTCAATGCTTGGATTCTCACAGTCCTGTGATCATGGGATCCATGACAGTGGAAAAATGTGGAGTTGACTAATAAAAAGCATAGCATAGTTAGTGAAATAGGAGACTTCAATTTAGTTCAAAGGGAAATTTTGAATATCATTTCCTTGGCTTCTTTAAACATCTTTTTGGAAAACCACATTTTGTGGTTCTTATATATATACTTGTAGGAGCTCTGGTAGCATAGTGGCTAAAGCACTTGACTGCTCACCAGAAGGCTGGCAGTTCAAACCCACCAGCCACTCCTCGGAAGGAAGGTTGGGCAATCCTACTTCTGTAGTGATACTGCCTCGGAAACCCAAGGAGGGGTCGCTATGAGTCGGGGCTGACTCGACGGCACATAACAACAACAACAACATATATACTTGTGTGTGTATGTATATATCCGTCTGGTTGAGGGCCTTCCCCTTTTTCACTGACCCTCCACTTTACCAAGCATGATACCCTTCTCCAGGAACTGGTCCCTTCTGACAACGTGACCAAAATAGGTGAGATGAAGTCTGGCCATTCGCTTCTAAGAACCATTCCGGTTACACTTCTTCTAGGACAGTTTTGTTCATTCTTCTGGCAGTCCATGGTGTTTTCAGTATTCTTCGCCAAAGACCACAAAAAGAACTGAGGGTTTCTTAAGTGTGATGTTTCCTTCATGCAGATCTGAATAGTCAAACAAATATTACATAAAGGCAATGGTGTAATTGAGCAAATGAGGGTAACAGGGTGGTGAAAGTTTCTCTCTGTTGAGGGAAAAGAAGGTGGTTTTTCTGTTAAGTTGGAGATTGAGTGTCTGCAACAGCAAATGGAAAATGTCTACAGTGATGGGCTCCCTTTTCCCAGTACCTGGTTCTGTCTCTGAATTACAGCAGTTCTCTCTCTGCTCATGTTACTCTTGTCTCCAACTAGGCCCTAGAGGGCAGGGACTTTTGCTTCTTGCTGTATCTTCAGGACCTAGCTCAGTGTCTGGCACGTGGAAGGTACTCATATATATGAATGCATTGATAAGAATATCTTTGGGAATTATTTGAAGGCTTTTTGGTCATTGGCTTAAATTGATATAAAATCTCTGGAATATCAAGCTACCATAGGACATGTAGCTTAAAGAGGCTCTTCAGACATAAGTAGAGAGAATAGCATGTGTGGAGTCTAGGCTATCCATCACAAGGGAGATGGTGGTATGGAGGAAGATTTGTCTACTCTCTGTATTTTTCCTGACCATGCCTTGGGTCATTTTGTGTAACATGCTGTGAATAGAGCTAGGGGTTAGTCTGTCAGACTGAATTTCAAATTTTGACTATGTAATTTCTAGTAATATAACTTCAAAAGTTATTTAATTTTTGTGAGCCTCTGGGTAAACCAAACCAAACTCACTGCCGTCGAATCAGATCTGACTCAGCAACCCCTCCTTGGGTTTCCAAGGCAGTATAACTACAGAAGTAGATTGCCCAACCTTCCTTCTGAGGAGTGGCTGGTGGGTTTGAACTGCCAGCCTACTGGTTAGCAGTCAAATTCTTAGGCACTATGCCATACTCCCATACTCCCATACTCACCTGTAAAATGGTTATATTAGGACCTCTCTGGTTAAATTGTTACACAGAAAATTCTTGGTGTAACAATTTGCACACAATATTGCACACACTTTCTATATCAAGTAGGATGTCTGGTGGCTCCATGCTTAAGTGCTCAGCTGCTAACCACAAGGTCAGTAGTTTGAACCCACCAGCTGCTCCACTGGAGAAAAATATGGCAGTCTGCTTCTGTAAAGACTTACAGCTGTGAAAAGTCTATGGGGCAGTTTGCTATGAGTGGGAATCAACTAAATGGCAGTGGCTTTTTGAGTGTATATAAAAAACACCGTGCCTCACTCACTCTGGGATCTAAAAGTGTGCTTTCTATGATTACGGTGTGTTTGTCTTGGGGGGGCAGTTGGGAAGAGGCAGGAGAGAGAGAGAGAAAGAGAGAGAGAGTTTGAATGTACGCAGGATTAATTACACATTGAATCTTGAATAGATAAACTGGTCATTATTTATGGAGACCTTTTGCTTCACTGCTTTTTCACTCTCTTTTCCTTTTCTTTTCAGCTGGTCTTCTTTGGGCTGAGTAACCAGATGGTGGTAGCTTTCAAGGAAGAAAACACTATAGCATTCAAACACCTCTTCCTAAAAGGGTATATGGACAGAATGGATGACACTTATGCAGTGTACACGCAAAGAGATGTGTATGATCAGATCATCTTTGCAGTGAATCAGGTAAATCAGAAGTGTGCATTCTATACTCTGGAGAAAGAACAGATGGGGGAAAATGCAAGGTATATAATAGAACATAGCAAGGTCCATAAAATTAGCAAGGTGCATAATGGTAACTGACATTCAAATGACATATATAAAATCATTTTAAAATTGTTTTGTTTATTTTTGTTTTTAAATATTGCCAACAAGATTCCACAAAACTAGAAATTGAAAAAAGCTTTTGGGACAAAGAGAGAAAACTTTGAAGACTTAATTAAAAGGATCAGAGGTATGGGTAGGCATAGGAGCCTCAAAGATTTAAAGTCACTAACCGTGACCCTGACAGTAAGTAGTCATTAAGTTTCTTTCAGGGGCTTTAATAAGTAATGAGAGTATTAACTATGTAGAGTGTATATAGCAACAAAGACATGAAAATTAATTTTAAAACTAAGTAAGGCCTTTATGTTACACACCACAATGATTTTATTGTAACATTACCCAAAACAACTGCCCCAAAGAAGATTGCTTCTCATACAAATAAGTCAAATTCCTATTCTGAGTTTAATTAGCTTTTTGTTATAAAAATCTTTCTCAAGATTCCAAACCTCTGTTTTAAGCATATTCAGTTTCTCTATATGTACTCTGAGCAAAATTGGTAGGGTTTTTTCTTTTGGTTTCTTTGCTTTGTTTCGTTTTTGTGAAGGGGAGTAAGTTTAGAGGTAAGAAGTAAGCAGTTCATTTAGTTCTGTATATATCTTTATTTTATTATTAGTCCTAATGTCAGTCTTCAAAATATAGTTTTTGGCATTCAGGCCACAGTGTTTGTCAGATTCTATGTTCTTTATGAAATTCATGTAGTTTCCTTATCCTAATATATGTGTTGTTGTTGTTGTGTGCTGTCCAGTAGGACCTGACTCATAGCGACCCCTCCTTGGGTTTCCAGGCAGTATCACTATGGAAGTAGATTGCTGCATCTTCCTTCTGAGGAATGGCTGGTGGGTTTGAACTGCCAGCCTTCTGGTTGGCAGTCAAATGCCTGAGGCACTACGCCCTTTTATTTGAAGATAAAAAATATCTTGAGCACAATTTTCATGATTAAGTAAGATTTTGTGGTCAATGAAGTCAGTTATTCTACATGCTTCTAGAGGACTGGACAGCAAAGCATGGATTTATAATATAGCAGGGAGGATCTTTGTTTGCTATAAGGAAATATTTTGATAGCTGAAGTGATAGTCACTGGAGGTAACTAAAGTATAGAACAGCAGCATCTCAGACCTTAGAGATATTTGGACAACTAACACTATTTTTATGCAGATAACATACACATTATATAGTTTTTGCAAATCATGCAAGTAGTTTCCTATGCACACTATGCATGTTATATGAATGTGTGTATTATTTATGTAGGCATGTTATATGTGAAAAAAATACAATAGTTATCCTGAAGCCATTAGCACCAAGATGTCATCTAATTGAATAATCTCCAGAACTCATCCTGATCCAATACTGTGATTATAGCAGCATCACTTATTTCAATTATAGTCAAAATATATATAACAAAATATTTGGCAATTGAACAATGCTTATACGTATAATTCAGTGGCATTGATTGCATTCATCATATTGTGCAACCATTACCACTATCCTTTTCCAAATTATTCCACCACCATTAACAGAAATTCAGTGCCCCTAAGGAATGATTCCTTCATTCCCACTCCGTCCTGCTCCTGGCAACCACTAATAAGTTTTGTTCTCTATGTGTGTCTATTTCATATAGGTCAGATCACACAATATCTGTCCTTTTGTGACTAACTTATTTCACTCAGTCCAATGTTTTTAGTGTTCATCCATGTTGTAGTATGTACGAGGAGCTTGTTTCTCTCCCATTGTATGTATATACCGTTTATCCATTCCTCTGTTGATGAACATTTTGACTGTTGTGTATGGTGCTGCAATGAACATTGATGTAATGTTTATGTTTGTGTTCCTGCTTTCAGTTCTTTTCAGTACATACCAACAGCATCACTTTTGATTCATTCTATGTGCTTATGTATCTAAATGTCGAAGTCCTAGTTATTTTGTTTTTATACTATATCCTGGCTTTCCAATTCTGTCTTAGTTATCTAGTGCTGCTATAACAGAAATAACACAAGTGGGTGGCTTTAAGAAATAGTGATTTATTTTCTCCCAGTTTAGGATGGTAGAAGTCCACATTCAGAATTACTGGCTCTAGAGAAAGGGTTTCTCTCTCCATGTCTCCTGGTCCTAGGAGGTTCCCAGTGCAGGGACCCTGGGTGCAAAGGATGCACTCTGCTCCCAGCTCTTCATTCCTGGTGGTAGTAGGTCCCTTTCTCTGCTCATTTCTCTTTCTTTTTATGTCTGATAAGATAAAAGGTGTTGTGGGTCAAATTCCTGGGAAACTCCCCTTACATGGGTCAAGGCTGTGATGGGATTAAGGGTGTTGCGCCCACCCTAATCCTTTTATAGCTGATTGATTTATCACTTCAGCGGGTGGGGTAGGGGGACCATTACATACCCATTACTTACGTAGCAGCCAAACACAGGATCATGGCCCAGCCAAGTTGACACATATTTTCACATTCATGCCATCTTATTTTTTCAATCATTTTTGGATCATCTTTACTAACTCCTTTCCTTTAACCTCCTCCCTAAATTGGGCAGCCGCCAAAGGTTTGTCCTTTTTCTGCAGAAAACTCATCCATTATACAGCCTCGTCCATCCCCAGTAGGAGGCATCTCCCAAACTGTTGTTCCTTCTGCTGCCTGCTAGACATGTCATAAGCCCCTCACACCACCCTGCCCAAAGCAGATTCCTGCTCCCACCTGGCTGTTCCCCGGACCTGTTCCCTTTTAATTCAGATGTTTAGGTTTAGAAACCTCAAGGTCTTCTTTGAATCATTTGCTCTAGCAGCTCAAACATAGTCTTTAAATTCCTTCTCTTCCCCACCCACTCATTTAACCACCTCTTGGCTGTTTCCTAAAATCACAGATCTGAATGTGTACTGCTTCTCATGGCTCGTATATATGGACACAGTGCTCAGCATTGCAATGTGACATATTTACTCTGTGATGGCAGAAGTACATAACAGGCATTAAGATGTTTATGGATGATTTAATGGCTCAAAAAATAGCAACCCCTCCTTGGGTTTCTGAGGCAGTATCACTACAGAAGATTTCCCAACCTTCCTTCTGAGGAGTGGCTGGTGGGTTTGAACCTCCAGCCTTCTGGTTAGCAGTCAAATGCCTTAGGCACTACGCCACCAGAACTCCCTAATGGCTCAAAGTGCTCATTAATTTGTTAGCATTAGTTAGTCACAGAAGGACCACAAACAAGCAATCTATAACCAAGGAGCAATCGGTTTTAATCTACTTTACTTTTAGGCCACATCACACAGGTAAAGACATTTACACTATTTTTATAATATCACCCAAAGAATGACCTGAGACCCATGAGTTTGTGTGAGAAACTATTTCTCATAAGGCAGAGATGCAAAGGCATGAGGGCACTGATTGAAGTCCCACAGAGGCAGGGCCATTTAAATATTCCTGTGCTTTCTCTCCCACCAATCCCACAGGCCAGCCACCTTCCAACCTTACTGCCACACCAAAGCCTTGTCCACACTCTGCTGATATGGGCTCCAAAGCTGCCCATTAGCCAGGCACAGCCCTGCCACTTGCCCAGACCACCCAGCTCTTGCTAGGTGCTCAGAACTCCACCCTACCCCACCCCCCAAAAAAGGCCTTGTTAAGATATCAAGGAAGTCTGTGGCTAGACTGTAACTTACACTATTACCAGATACATGTCAGATATTTTGCATTTCAAAATCTTAAAAAGATTCAAGCCATGCAAATTCCAATAGTCAGAAGCTCAGATCTTTAGGTAATTTCTGTGAGGGTTACCTCATATGTAAAGGCAGAAGGGCTGCAGAGTGTCATCACAAGCATGGCTCTGTACTTCATGTCTTCTGATTACCTCTTCAGTTTTACCTCCCCCATCACATACCCCATGTTCTAGACACACTGGTCTACCTGCTACTGCCTAAATCATACCTTCTTTTTCATTTAAGGACTTTACCTCTAACCTTTCTCTCTCCCCCAAATATGAAACTATCTATTTGGCTTAGTAGCTTTAGAGACTTATTTCCTTGAATAGAAAACAAAAATTTCAAAATAAATTAAAAATTAATTTCCCCCTATGCAAATTATTGGACATAATTCTATTTAAAGGAGCCCTCGTGGTGCCACAGTTAAATACTTAGCTGCTAACCCAAAGATTGGTGGTTAGAACTATGTAGCAGCTACATGGGAGAAAGACCTGGCAATCTGCTTCCATAAAAATTACAGCCAAGAAATCCCGATGGGGCAGTTCTACTCTAAACTGGAAGCAACTTGATGGCCCTCAACTGCAACAACAGCTCTATTTAACAAATTATACAGTTTACATCTATTACTATTGATTTCAGGCTAATTTTCCCAATCCCAGTGCCAACAGAAAGCCATGTATTTCAGCCTCTCACTTTTCTTGGATTAGTAATTGAAGAGCTACTATTGAATTTAATAATTTTTTACCTCACCATTAATTTGACAAATACTGAACTCTTACTATGTGCCAAAAAGTTGCTCTAAGAACTGGGGTTAGAGTGGTAGACATGATTAGTTCCCTCCCCTGTGGAGATTAGATTCTAGTGGGGGAGATGGATAAATAATTTTAAACACATTTAACTAAAATAATTTGATTTTGGATAATGATGAATGTTATGAAGGAAAATCAAGCAGCATCAGACATTATCAGTGGCCTCAGGATGGTCAAGAAAGGCCTTTCTGTGGATTTGAACTCTGGGGAGTGGGGAGGCATATTCCATGCTGATGAAGTAGCAAAATAGACTACGAAACTGGAATATGGTCTGTGTTTGAGAAACTGTGAAGAAGGCCAGTGTGGCTGGGATGTAACAGAAGGGAGGGGCCAAGTCTCTCAGATCTTTGTAGGCCATGGAAGGGAGCCCAGAATTTTATTCTGAGTGAGATGGGATGTCATTGGCAGGCTTTTGGTAGGGGAGACTCTAATATACATTAACATAGGCTAACATTTAGGAACTATGGTAGCGCAGTACCTAAGACACTTGACTGCTAACCAGAAGGCTGGCGGTTCAAACCCACCAGCTACTCCTCGGAAGGAACATAGGGCAATCTACTTCCGTAGTGATACTGCCTCAGAAACCCAAGGAGGGGTCGCTATGAGTCGGGTCCTACTTGATGTCACATAACAACAACAATAGGCTAACATTTATTCTAGTTACCATTGACTCGATTCCAACTCATGGTGACCTCATGGAGATTTGAGTCTACCCAGAGGCACTATAGAAGGAAGGCCCGGTGATCAGCTTCTGAAAAATCAGCCACTGAAAACCCTGTACAATACAATTCTACTCTGATACAGTTGGAGTTGCCTTGAGTTGGAATTGACTTGCCTATAACTTGTTCTATTTATCTATTTGGGTAACATTTATTCATTCCAATATTTACTTTGTAACTATTATGTATCAGGTACTATTTTTGGTTCGGGCATAATGCAGTGAACAAGTAGGAAAAGTCTCTGACCTCAAGGAGGCCATATTCCAATAGGAAGACATAGGTAGTAAATAAGTATGTAATCTGTCAGTTTGTTATAAGTACTGCAGAGGGCAGGGAATAAAGCAAGCAGAGGGAATGACTGGATTTGTCCGGAAGGCTTCTCTAATAAGGTGACATGTGAGACCAGAGCAGACAATAATGTGGGGAGGCAGCCTGGGGCTATCTCACAGAAGGGCCTTCCAGGGAGAAGAAACAGCAAGAACGAGAGTGTTTACATTTACGCAGGTTCCTGTTTCGGGTATACTGTTCTAAGGGCTTTGCATGAGTGAATTCACCTACTGCTCATAACAATCCTGTAGCTTCTAGATGGACACTAGACTGTAGTGAGAGGCAGGATTGGATGCCCAAAGACCAGCCATTTACCGAGGAGGGCATTATTATAGAAGGAATGCTTTTCCTGGGTGACACAAACAGTTAAGTGCTTGACTACTACCTGAAAGGACTAGCTGAACTCATCCAGAGATGCCTTGGAAGACAAGCTTGAAAACCCTATGGAGCACAACTCTACTCTGCAACATGTGGGGCAGCCATGAGTCAGAATTAACTCGATGGCAACCAATAACAACAACAATACGTTTCATATACAGTAAAACCCGCAAATGCTGGAACCTGTGTGAGGCTGAAACCTGTCAGAGACGGAAAACTCAAATATTTACCACGAACAGAGACTGATAGAAAAGTGGTAAGACTTTTCCCTGTCAAAAGAAGAAAACTTGTGAGACCCGGAAAAAACAAGGCAATCCTGTGCCGTTCTGGTTCTCACAGGTTTTACTATACTTGAATTGACACATTATCAAGTATATAGGATATTTCCACTTGATATGTCCTCGTGGTGCACAGTACCATGCCACTCACCCTGTGCATGAGTATCTCCATCCAGAGGGGAGGTGAGGACTGTCCCATTTCAGAGGTGGGGAGGAAAGGGGAATTACAGCTTCACTTCTGCCCTGGTTGCTGTTCCCATTTTCTGTTTCTCTTTTTGCTTGAAGTACTTGCAGCTGCACCACATCTCAGTTGGGAATCATGCTTATGAGAACGAGGGCACCGAGCAATCTGCTATGGCAATCTGTCAGCATTTCTACAAGCAAGGAAACATCTGTCCTGGAAATGACACCTTTGACATTGATCCAGAAATTCAAACTGGTGATGTTCTTCTGTAACCTAGAACTTCACTTTTTAGCTCCTTGATTTAAATTTAAATGTGTAATTTCATCTTTAAAAACATTGATTTGGTCTGTGCTGTTAGGGCATAGTAAGAACTATACAAGAGTTATGTGTCAGGTACGCTTTAAGCTCTCTAACTCATGAATCCTCACAAAAATACGACAAGGCAAGCTTTATTATTATCCTCATTTTATAGAAGACTAAAGTACAGCTCAGAATGTTAACTGATCTGCTGAAGATACAGCTGCTCAACAGGCAGCAATGAAATGGCGCAGTCTATCTGACTCCAGAGTCTGGGCTCTTATGCCCTACATTCCACTGCCTCTCACGCTAGATAAGCCAGTTACATTGAAAAACTCTCTTTCCCCAAGTAGCACATAACTCTTCAGTATTTTGGGGTGGGTTGTCAAAGGAATGCTAACTATAACTTTTAGCACAGCTTGTTCAAAAGTGATTTTTTTCCCCCTTCTTAGCAAAGTTCTAACTGTAGTTTTCACCTTAAATGTTAGCTTAGACCATTGAGTTAAAAAATAAGTATTGAGAGACTTTATAACAATAGACACTGGTATCTTTTTTGAGAGGAATAGTAAAGAACTACAGTGAAGTTAAGGCACTGGCTTCCTTTTTTAAAAATTTAAGTGTTTATTGAAGAAAAACTGTCAATACATAATATTTTAAGATATTGGATTCATTAAACTATTTAGCATGTCTTGTCTCAGGTACTGCAAGTGTTTGAAATACTGTGCTTAGGATGCAAAGGAAGGAAGGAGAAACTCAAAGTTTACTTAGGCTTAAAAAGACTCTAATGAGATAGTGTTCAGATCTTTTTTTACCCCATCCACTTCAGCAAAACAAATGACCAAATTGTATTGATGTCTAGTTTTTAAAATCTTATTTCAGAAAAATACTAGAATTTGAGTATCTTGTCTTAAAGTCTATTATCTTTTCAAAATGCAGGTTTATTTATTTCTTTTAGGTGCTATATCACGTTTTTTCCCCTTCCTATGACAGAATGTTTCTTCATAGAGCCAGATGAGCCTTCTCACATTGGGACACTAGAAAAAAATAAGCTCAACTTAACACTGGACTTCCACAGGTGAGGGAAGCAGATAGGAGTGTAACTTGTTTGTGTCTTTCCACTGTACTTAAAGTCTCCTGTCTTCGTTTTCTAGACTCCTAACAGTGGAGCTTCAATTTAAACTGAAGGCCATTAATCTGCAGACGGTTCGTCATCATGAGCTCCCCGACTGTTACGATTTTACACTGACTGTAAGAATGGTCTAAGCTCAGTTTTGTTCCTGGGTAAAAAATGTTTTATCTAATTTATATGTTTCATATACTTGTATTAATATATGATCAAGTATGTAGGATGTTTCTACTTGAATGTGCTTGGAGGAAACAGTGATATAGCTAGCTCCATTTTGTTATAATGACTTGTTTACTTGTGTATCTTCTGTGCCTCAATATAAGTTCTAAAAGGACAAGCTTGGCTTGTTCACTGCTGTGTTTCCAGTACCAAGAACAGTGCCTAGTACAGAGTAGGTGTTCAAATGAAAAACCCCAGAGGGTTGTAGGTTATGTACGGTTGGTTCTTTGCAATGTGTGTCAGTCTGCTGAAGATCATTGCCAACGGTTGTTACTGAGCCTTGGGCATTGCTCACAGTGCCTTCCTTGTTTCTTCCTGTGCAGCTCAACCTCTCACTTCTATGTTCTTTATATTCTAGTTGAAAATAGAGCTATTAATGCTCTTGTGAGAGCACCAGACGGCTCTCATGTGAGTTCATCATCTCAAGAGAATCACAGTCAGTAACCCAATGCTGTTTGGTCATATGCAGTACATCATTTGATACAACTTGTCTTTACATTATCCAGATTTCTATTACCTCTTTAATAGTACTTTGTATGAACAGCTGTGTCCATGAAACTTAACTAATTGTGGAAAAAATAAAGTTTTCAGAGATTAAGGTTAAGAAAATCCCAGCATTATTAGTATACTCTATTAACTATGGATAACATTAGGAGCTTTGGTGGTGTAGTGCCTAAGGCATGTGACTGCTAAACCCACCAGACACTCCTTGGAAGGAAGGTTGGGCAATCTACTTCCATAGTGATACTACTGCCTCAGAAACCCAAGGAGGGGTCTATCAGTCTGTTCAACTCTACAGCAGCGAGTTTGGTTTTTTTGTTATGCATAATATTTGGGAGCTCTAGTGGCATAGTGCCTAAGGCATTTGACTGCTAACCAGAAAGTTCAAAGCCACCAGCCACTCCTCAGAAGGAAGACTGGGCAATCTACTCTCATAGAGATATGGCCTCAGAAACCCAAAGGATGGGTCGCTAACATTTAATAGGAAAAGCACTTAAACTATAAAACTATTTTAAATTCGATTTACAAATTTTGATCTTAATACTGACCAGCAGGTTATGAATTATAACTATTACTGATTTTTAAAAAATTAAGTTAATATCTACAGTCTCACATCTTTTTTTACTAATATTTTTTCTCTCTCATTCTCTCTCTGTCTCTTTCTCTCTTGATTTTTTAGAAATGTTACTATTGTGGTTACCTAGTGTTCCTCTGACAAGAATATGCCACAATTGGGATGGCCTTAACAAACAAGAGTTTATTCTCTTACAGTTTGGAGGTTTTAAGTCCAAGTTTAAAGTGCCAGGCTTTAGGGGCTGTGTGAACGCCCCTTTAACTTAGGCTTCAGCTCTACCTCTTGATCCTGGCCCACTGAAGCTAGAGGCATCTCTTCACTCAGGCAGCTACTGGCTGCTGAGGCTAACAAGCCCAGATAAAATGGCACAGTCCCACTGTTACCAAACCACATGGCAAGCCATTAATTCAAGTCCATTGTAAGTCCCAAGGTCAGCAGAGCATGGCAGGCTGCTGAACAATGACATGGCTACATGCAGGGTCCAAGCATGCTATAAGCTAGAGACTATCCCCAAGGCTTCTCCTTATATACAGGAAGCAGACCACAACCCTAAGGTAGCTACTCAGCTGCTTGTGGTAGATCCCACCATGGAGCTGATTGCCAGTCTCATCATGGGGGATAACTACCACCAGCTTCCCAGCCACTCAACCAGGCCCAGCCAAGCTGACATACAAATTTAACTACCACAGTTACTTTTTGGAATTTTTATGATCCTTCAAAGTTTAGCTCAACTGCTACCACCTTCGCAGATCCTTTTGTGATTCTTCAGTTAAAATGCATTCTATGTTCTGAACCCCCAGTTCTTTTTCCTTTTCTGTGGACTTCACACTTTCTCTTTTATTTTAGAATTTTCTAGGTATTTATCAACTCTGCTAGATTGGAAGCTCCTTAAATGCAAGATCTACTTTATTAAACTTCTCATCCCTCAAAAAATGTAGTAGGTGACTGTGGTGTAGTAAATTACATTGTTGTTGTTGTTGTTATGTGCCACTGAGTCAGACCTGACTCATAGCGACCCCTCCTTGGGTTTCCGAGGCAGTATCACTACGGAAGTAGATTACCCCATCTTCCTTCCGAGGAGTAAATTACATAGTATGGCTTTTCTAGCTATAGTCTTTGTAACTCCCCCTTTGCCTGAGTAGCTGATTATCAAAGTTATCTACCTGGTGTATTTCTGCTGAGTGGCATGAAGTTCACTCTCTCTCAGCTGTATAGAATTCTGATGTTGGGATTGGTTAGTTTGGCCACTCTGCCAGGCTCAAAAGGAGCACTCCTACAAGCAGAGAGAGTGTCTGACTACCAGCTGAGAAAGCTGTGCTGCTGAGAGATATGAGAGAGACATGCTGCTGAGAGAGACTGTCAGCTGAGAGATGGTTGGCTGAGACTGAGTGCATTCCTGAACTTGAATTGTAGCTTGTGCTTCCCTAATAAATCCCATAATCTGTGCGTTCTGTGTGGCCACTGCAGTGAATTATTGAACCCAGCAGAGAGGTGGTAGGTGCTGGGGGAGGAATGGTTGGTGACAAGGCTAGTAAGAGGGCTGGAGGGTGGCGGCATGTCTGGCCTCATAAGAACAGGCCTTAGGCTCTGATGGGGATTCTGTCTTCCTCTTGTGGAGTTAGAGTCAGAAGATGCTGCTTCCCTGTCCCTTTGGCAGTGACTCAAATATTTGTTGAATGTATCAATGAAACACTTGTGAAATCTTGCAAATTTCTAATAGAGTTAAACACCAATTTGTTACTATACAAATTTTATGGTAAGTTATTTAAAAGGGTCACAAAGAACGGCTGAAAGACATCTCATGAAATCTTTCAGAGGACTCAATACAGTGGTAAAAGCAACCTGACCTGCTAGCTACATACAATTTGTTTTATTTTCAGCATTTCTGTAGACTGATTTCAAATGGTTCTCCTGCATTGTAAATTCAGCAGTGGATGTCCCAGAATTATAGAGTTTATAACTTACCAGGTGGTTTAATAATGAAAGGGTAACTTCATTGTCATAAGTAAACATCAACTGGGGTAGAATACACGTGATATAAAATACATAGGCTTTGGAATCAGACAAATCTAGAGTTGTCAGTTTACCAGTTAATAGCTACATAACTGTAGGCAGATTACATAATTGTTCAAGCCTCAGTTTTTCATCTAACTGGATCCTCCCATGTGGATATGCAGTCATAATTATAAAGTACACCCACTCCTTACTTATCAACATGGTTGGGTTCCAAAGACCAGGTAGTTATTGCAAAAATCTAGGTATGTGAAAATGGAGGATGACCACATCAGATTACAAAAAGGAGGATAACTACATCATTACATAACTGCTAAATTATATTACTACATAATAACAAATGACTGAGAATAATGGCTCAGTCAGGTTGACACATAATCTTAACCATCACAGCCAGCATTACCCTCACCTTGCACCTTTGCATAATGACATACATCATTAATGAACAAAATAGTCAGACAGTAGACTTTTTATTTTACTGTTGTCTAAATGTGAAATATCAGATAACAAAACAGTAGATAAGTGAGGAGTAGGTGTACTCAAGTTCACAAAGTACTTCTCCATCACATTTGATTTGATCTTTCCAGTACCTTGTGAGGGAGATGGTGATAATGGGATAATTAGAAATTAATAATGGAAGATTTGGATTTAGGCTTGGAGAGGTTGAGCAAGAGTAGAAAATTCATGACATAATAGGATCTTTATTTTTGCTTAAGATTGCTTATTCTCCTTGGGGTCAGGATTTTTGATTTATCACTGTCATATCCCCAACACCTATAACATTACCTGCTATAAACTGGGTGCTCAAACATTTCTTGAACAAATGAATTATAGTAGTAGTGATTTGATGACTCAGAATTTTGCAGAGATTAAGGTATTTTTTTTCTGGCATTCCAGCTTAATTGCCCTTTCTTTCAGCTGTTCTTTGTGACCCTTTTAAGTAATGCCAAAGGGGCAAGGAGGCCACATCTTCTGACCTCCTCTAACTGAACAAGAGGAAGACAGAATCACCATCAGTAGCCCAAGGCCTATTCTTGAGAGGCCAGACATGCTACCTCCCTCCAGCCCTTTCTCCAACCCTGACACCAACTGTTACTCCCGCAGCATTCACCATCTTTCTGCTGGGTTCAATAATTCACTGCAGTGGCCACACAGAACTCACAGATTATGGGTTTATTAGGGAAGCACCAGGCTACAATTCAAGTTCAGGAAAAATGCTCAGTCTCTCTCAGCCCACCATCTCTCAGCCAACAGTCTCTCTCAGTCTCTTTCCCAGCAGTGCATGTCTCTTGGTGTCTCTCAGCAGCACAAGTCTCTTGGTTTCTCTCAGGAGCACATTTCTCTCAGCAGCACATCCTTCTCAGCCAGCAGTCAGAGACAGTTCAGCTTCTAGGAAGCCTCCTTTTGAGCCTGGCAGAGTGGCCAAACTAACCAATCATAACATCAGAATTCTAAGCACCTGAGAGAGCAAACTTCCCAGAACACTGCTTTGTGCCACGCCCAACAGAAATACCCCAGGTGGATAACATTTACAATCAGGAGCTCCTCAGTTGCTCATGGCAAATTCCACCACTGAATTTACAATGGCTTATGGCTAGAAAAGCCATACCACGTAATTTACTACACTGCAAGTAACTCACCATAAAAGTTTGTATAATAACAAATTGATGCTTCACTATATTAGACATTTGCAACTTTAAAATATCTTTGTCTGGACTAATGCTATTTTAACAGAATTTACTGATTTTGTAACCCTAAACTCTCTGTACTGGAGTAGTGTGGAGCTGGGTATGCATTTGATATTCAGAACAGTTTCTTAAAACACACATTAATATTAAAGATTTAAATACCTAGTTGTTCAGTAATCAGCTTTTACAGGATGCTGAGTATGCTTTACTTCAGAACCTGAGAGAGGAGGCAGAAAGAAAATGGACTAATTGTCTTGCCTTCCCCGTCCCTGCCTGGAGAAAGTTGAGAGAGACTAGCAGGGGAGGGCAGTAGAAGGATTATGGATGGTGTTCTGGAATAGCTTTGTCCTGCTTGGCACCTTGCATAGAAGCTGAATAGTCCTAATGTTCTGAAATGTTTATCCTTGAAACAAGACATGACTTTTGACTCCTGTTACCAATGTCTTTTATAATTCATGTGGTGTTAGAGTGACTAAGAACTCTAAGCCCAGAAGGCAAATTGAAAAAGCTCCACCTGAAATGCCTCAAGACTGAAATAATGCACATCTGCATTAGTAAGAATTGCAGTAGCGCTAGACATCTATGCCCAACTGAGGCCCTGCTAAGAGTTGGGGAAAAGTACAGTTGTGGCAGCTCTTGCTCATATCAGAAGGGCACCTAGCATGGCAAGGAGGATAAAGTACTCTTGTTTTATAAGTTGTCCAGGGCTTGAATACTGCCCTAAGATACATGAGGTTTTGGAGATGAAAAGTTCTCTGTAGAAGATTTAGTTCAAATCTCTCATTTCACAGAGAAATAAAGGGAACATCCCAAGCTTGAGCACAGTTAGCAACAGGGCAGGGATGATGGCGTAGTGCCTAAGGCATTTGACTGCTAACCACTCCATGGAAGGAAGACTGGGCAATCTATTGTAAAGATTTACCACCTCAGAAACTGAAAGAAGGGGGTCGCTGTGAGTTGGAACCAACTTGATGTCAGTGAGTTCGGTTCTTTTGAGTTTTTTTCCTTGAAAGGAGTTCTGGTGGGATAGAGGTTATAGCATTTGGCTACTAACCAAAAGGTCAGTGGTTTGATTCCACCAGTCACTCCATTGGAGAAAGATGGGGCAGTCTTCTTCCATGAACATTTACAGCCTTGGAAACCCTATGGGGCAGTTCTACTTTGTCCTATAGGGTCATTATGAGTCTCAATAGACTCCATCACAGTGGGTTTGGTCCCCATGAAAGGGTTGTTTTTTTAGCTTTTACATGGTTCAGAAACAATAGGTATGTTTGTTTATATATTTAAACCAATTTTCTGTTCTTCACAGATAATATTTGACAACAAGGCCCATAGTGGAAGAATTAAAATAAGTTTAGATAATGACATTGCCATCAGGGAATGTAAAGACTGGCACGTATCTGGATCAAGTAAGTTATAAACTTGAGTAGTTTTCAGAATGGCTATTACATAATATAAAATGATTATCAAATTACCACCCCTAAGATATGTGTAAAAGGTGCTCTAGTGGCTCAGTGCCTAAGGCATTTGACTGCTAACCAGAGGGGTGACAGTTTAAACCTATCAGCCACTCCATAGAAGGAAATGGGGGCAATCTACTTCTGTAAAGATTTATCACCTTGGAAACCCAGTGGAGCTAGAAATTGACTCGATGGCAGTGAGTTTTTTTTTTTTTTTTTTTTAATAGGATCTTTGTAGCATCAACAGACCATTCTCAAGTCCCTAATTCTTTGCAGGTAGATATCTGATGTTCCAGGCAATATAAAATTATTATTAATCAAGATGACTTACCCAACCTTTTCCATGTGCCCTTATTACTTACCTACTCTTCACCAAAAAAAGTACTCACAGTCCCTCACTGTTGCTGCTACTAATACCACAAGTGGGTGGCTTTAAAGAACAGAAATATATTTTCTCACAGTTATAGAGGCTAAAAATCCAAATCAGGGTATCGGCCCTGTCAATTTCTTCTGTGAGCCTCTCTCCTAGTTCCTGGTGTTTTCTGGTGATCCTGGTGTTCCTTTGCCTGTAGATGATCCTCACATGTCATCAGTCTTCCCCTGATGTCTCTGTGTGTATTCTGGTCTTTTTGTAACTCAGAAGTGATTAGGTTTAGTATCCACCCCACATTGGTATGACCTCAGCTGATTGATCAATCATATTACATTAGATTGCATTATGGAAAGTGAGGTCATTACCTTGCATTGTGGAAGATAATTTGCTGTACCCAAGACCAACTGATTTTAATCGCATGTTTTTACTCCATGACAGTAACTAGCTAATGTTTGGCCAAACCACTGGTATGAGAGTTGGGATTGTGTGTCAACTTGGCTGGACCATGATTCTGAGTGGTTTAAGTAGTTGTGATGTGGTTGTTCCCATGATGAGATCTTATGTATATGCTTGAACAGCCAATCAGATGAAAGGGAGTTTCCTTAGGGCTGTGGTCTGCTTCCAATATATAAATGGATGTCCTGGGAAAAATTGGGAACCTTCTGTGGATCTGGATCCTGTCATTGCTACCTACAACTTTACTGTGAGCCAATAATCCACCATCTTGCCTGTTGATCTTGGATTCATCATCTGTCAAAGTCAACAGCCTGTTCTACTGCCTACCAGTCTTGAGCTTGTCAGCCCCTGAAGCTGTGTGAGTCTGGAAAAGCCTTCAGCTTGACATTTGATCCAGGGACACGGGACTTCCCAGTCTCTATAACTGTGTGAGCCATTTTCCTAAGATAAATTTTTCTCTCTATATATATAAGCTTGACTGCTCACCAGAAGGCTGGCGGTTCAAACCC